AGAGTTTCTGAAAAACTGGTTTTCCAGAAAACCACTCTCTGGAGGCCTAGCAGCACGTCTCATGTTGATATTCGGAATCAGCATGGTCGACTACCTATAGTCCACTAGGTTTCGGCTCGAAAGCGATTGGGCAGTTGGGGATCATTCCTCGTCAGACTAAAAGTGAATTGAATTTTTTAAGTTTTTTCTTCAAAGTTCTTCTCAATCTTTTAGTTTTTGTGAGCCGCTTTTGTCTTCCAAAGAAAACCGTCGCTGAAAATAAAATTACTTAGTTTGAATGATGATCAGAGCTGCAACACTTTAAAAAGTAATTTTTCTAAAAGAAAGCTTCAATGCTGTCATATGAGAGAGACAAAAGAAAATGCGAGCGTTTCGAATGCAGTTGTTTGCTCGCGCTCGATTACTTTAGACTCTTGAGAAAAAAAAAAGTTGAATAAATTAAGACTGAAGTTTTTTTACAGTTGCTTTCAACAAATACCTTGTACAAACGCAAACGTTTACATACGACGTTTTTAGAAACTTTATGAGCATTACAAAGAATCGATCAAATGTAAAAGAGGGAAAAGATTATTAGGAACTAAAGATAAAGGAAGTTGAATAACTTGTTTAGAAAAAATAATCCACTGTTGATTTTCACTATCACGATTGTGCTCCCGACATATAATCTCTAAAGATCAATACTTGAAATTAAAGTTGCAGAAGTTCAACGTTAATAATTTTAGGTGAAAAGCTTAGCTCCTTTCTAGTATAATCGAAAAAAACATCACTTTTCTCACGAGGGTACCGCCCAAGGTGCTCAACGCCGATTCCCTTCATTCATAGGTCGTTTGATAGAGGACATCGACCAGATAGTAAATAGTCTAAAAGGATTTGTGCTGACGGCTCTATCTTGAAAAGTTAGGGCCAATTTTCTGTTCTTCCCAGTTAAAATGGGCAAGAATTGCAAACCTTACAACTCAGTCAAGAAAGATCGTATACACTTGAAATTTTCAGCACTACAAGCTCACACGCACTGCTGATCAATCTGAAAATTTTAGATTGTTTGGTCGTTTTGTTCTTGACTTACAGGATCTTTGTTTATCATTTAAAAACAGGAATTCTGTAGCCTCAAGAAATCTGAGTTTTGTGTGAGAACTTAGGAATTAAGGAAACTCAATACTGTGTGAGATATTTTAGCTGAAACAGTACGGCATTTCTTCTCGGAGTATCAGTATTACCAGCAAATACGAACTATCTTTGAAAATGACTTGGACGCTCTAGTAAACGATACCCTTATTCTTGAACACATTCTCTTTCTAAAACTTGCTGCATCATTTTGAAACGTAACAGAAGTGAACGAACTAAGTTTATAATATCTTAATTACATTTATTCGCGACACACAAAAATTCTAATCTCATGATATCCTTTTCTCCCCATTGTTCATCAGTTAGTCTCTTTTTTCTTTTAATCCTATTGTTGTCATTACTTTCTCTTTTTTATGTTGTCGTCGTGTTTATATATGTCTTCTTGTACTGTCCTCTGTCCTCAGTCAATTTATGTTAAAATGGATTCGGTTCCTTCTAATCACAATTTTATTAAATTTTTCATATTTCTTCTATTAAAAAAAGTTTATAAACACTTTTAGCAGTAGGAGCGAGAGACCTAGAAAAAACATTTTTCACTTTAATTTCAGTTCACTATGTGAAACTGATCTATTCGCGCTAAGTACGTCAGACAGCATTTAGCGAACTTAAGTCATCCACTACCAGTGTATTATTTTACTTGCTTAGCATTATCAGCGTTCTGTCTTGATTTTTTCATTTTCACATTAACTGTGGTATCTTTGTCAAGATAATAAACTGGCTCATTGTTTTGCAGATATTAATTTCCGATGACTCTAGACTGTTAGAAAAGGAAATATTATATTTAAAAATGTTCTAATATGCACTTTAAACAAAAGACGGTAATGATTATCATTACTCACGCTAGAGATGTGGAATCCGAACCGTACCCGACCCGACACCTGGGTACGGGTACGAAGTTATCGGATACGGGTAGAGCAGTTACGGGTACGGGTTCTATGTTTTTTTAATTTACCTGAAAACTGGAAGGTTCTGGTGGAAAACCCACAAAATTCTAGTGAAAAAATACAAGAGTTTAGCTAAAATACATGAAGGTCTAAAAAAGAATTCTGTGAGAACGTAATGATAATTTGGCATCTTCAGCCAAAAAACAAAAATTTTTAGTTGGAAAATAAAATGGAGAAAATTTTTTAGACATAAATCGATTACGGGTCGGATACGGGTACGAAAATGCTACCCGTGCACATTTCTAACTCACATGCTGTTCACCAAAGATTTTACATCAGATCTTTGAACCAAAGTAAAAATTATGAGTCACTACTAATTACAGTATATATGGAACGGCTTTTGTGCGTGAAAATTTAAAAATTATTGTTTCAATACTGTTAGCAGAAGACGGCATGCATTTATTCCTCAATCCTTTGTTTTCCTTTACAAAAATGTTCTATTGATGTATTACACCATAGTTTTAGGGCAATACAATAATGAGAGGCTGTACCCTTTTCTCATAGCCTTTGTCATACCATTTTTTACCATTCGATGTTTCGAGTCCTGTTGATATTTGTGTCGTCATTGCCATATCTGATACATCATCTCCCCGAGTATTATGCGGTATGAAATTTGATTGTGCTTCCCGTTGGGTAGATGACCAATGTTGTGAAGATTTTTCTTGCAAAGTTGATGGATCATCATTGATAGAATCCGGAGATCTAGTCCCTGATGGATTTTGCTTTGATGTTGTGCTGACGCCTTGCTGAGATTTAGAGTAGCGAAAATCGGATTGCGTTGGTCGTCGTTGATATTGTGTCAATTGAACATCGTCTTCTGGTGTTGGTGTTGGTAGAGGGGAGATGGCTGTGGACTGTAAACGCGATGGATTTATTTCATTACTATTCGATTGGCGATGATAATATTGACGAGAAGTTTTATTATGTTGTCTATGATTGTGATCAGACGTATCATAAAATTCTGCTGTTTTTTCATTGTCGTTTATTCTAGATGTTTTTTCTTTTGGTTCATTTGGATCGACATCTAGTTCTTCTACGACGGCGGGTTTGCGCATATTATTGTAGACAGAAGGTCGTTGAGAGTTCTGATAAGCGTTTGCGTTACGGGTATCTTTATTTCCCATTGCGTAAAGCTCAACAAAGATGCAGATCACAGCACATGAATCAACGCTCTATGTTTCACTAAATGGTGAAAAAAAAATTCAGTAAAAATATAGGATTATCGCTGATTCCATTTCTTTTCATTTTATGAATGAAAGTATTTATAGAACTATATAAATGATCTTGCACAAAAAAGAAAGTGTATGTAAGAAATGAATTGTATTATTCACAGAGGAGTCGCTGTCTGAACATACATAATTTCTCCTCTTATGTTTGAGGACCTTGACCTCTTGTTAGATATATTCAAAAAAATAACTTAACAAACATTTTCTTCACCTTATTCAATTCTCTCTAATAAAAATTGACCATATAAGCATTGCTGTTTAAGCATTTCGAAGACTCCTGAAAATCACAACTTTGAATCTTGTTTGATTAGATACAGGTTTTTCTCATCTTTCTCATAATCACATTTTATCTCAATTAATTGCGTGCATTTTTTATGTCATATTTAATTCTTGGAAATACTTAAATATTCAATTCTCGACAGGATAATATTGCCCAGACTGATCTCAATTGTTTACAGATATAATTCGAAGAAATACAAAAGAATATTTAAGAAACTATTTTGAACTACAGTATGTAGTAGAGATAAAGAACTTTCGAATGTTACGTGAGCCAGCTGCTATGAATACATTATCACACAGTATTCAAATCTTACTTTAAGGCTACTGCAGGCGATTCACTGTTTTTCAGTACTACTATATTTCAGGTAGGATTCGTTTACTCAAAAAATAATTTCCAGTAAAAAAACATGTGATATTGACCTGCGTTAAGTGAAGTATAATGGAGCAGTGTTCCAGGAAAATTTTTTGCACTCAGGAAGGGCACTGAGTCCTTTTCTGCTGACTGCTCAAATACCTACAGTTCGTTAACTATTGCAGGAACGTGTGTGCACTAACCAACTAAAGTGCTCATCGAACATCCAGTAGAATAATCAATCAGACACAGTAAGAGTGGAATGACTACTAACTAAATCTTCGACCTTGTTCGTTACGTGAACAGACTCGCTATGAAAAGTGATGAGAAGAAAAAGCAAACAAATAAAATTTTTCCCACATCCTCTCTCAGATGTCAGTATTTCTGCTAATATTTAGCTCCCAGATGTGAGTAAGAATAATGACGACTATTAATACTACGCTCACTCTCCAAATGATGTTTTTGATATTGTGGTGAACGTACGCTTTTTTCCGGTGTGCATGCACTTTTGTGAAAGGACAGGGGAGAAGAAGAATTGCAAAACTGCAAAAATTGAGATTTTTTGTTGAAACTACATTATAAGTCTTGACAACAACAAAACACACCATTTTTAAAATGTAATAGATTGTCTTTATGAACTGTTAGTTTGCTGTACGATAGTATCTGATGAGATCCTGCCGTTATAATGTACCACTGTTATAGCATTATTCTTTCAATTTTTAGCGACAACTGACTTTACTGAGAATCACAGAATACATGGATAGTTATTTTGTAACATAGCGTGGACACTTTACCAGATATCAAACTTTGATCATGTACAGAGTACCTTTAGTCGGACAAGTCGTTACTACAATCTTAATTAGACTATATATATGAGACGGATAACACAGCTAGAACAATGTAGTCCTTAGGACGACGATTTCACTTGATTGATCTTCTTTTCTTGTTCATTTTGATTTCTTTAAATAAAAAGATTAAATCAACTAGAAGTTCTCAATAGTCATGAAACAAAACAAAACATTTAGACAAAGAAAAGGACTTTACTTAAGCCGCTAATGTCAATTTTAGTCTTTTTAAAAGATGAACACGTTCCATTACTATTCATTCTCCCAGTAAGAACCCATCACTCAACGATATATAAAAAGTATATTAGGAATAGTTTTTTGACGTGAACGGGTTAATGATTTCTTTGACAAAATGGTGTAGAAATGTAACCAGTGTAAAATTTGAAGATTCAGTTACACTACTGAATTGACAGGAAACTCCTAGACTTCTGTTAGACTTATAAAATTTTACGAAACAGAGTGTCTTTTATACACTTCTTCGTCTAACAGAACAAAACATAAGCGAATATGTTTCACATTTTCTTGTTCTCCACTCTCGGTAGTTTATTCTACTACTTGATGCGTACTTTTGCACTGAAACAGAAGTTAGCGTGGCTTCTGTAATAATCCAACGAAAGCATTTTTGCCTATTCTTACCGAAAATTACGAAATTCATAATCCGATCAAAATTTCTCTAATAATCCAACGAAAGTACTTCTGCATCGACACACAAAGCATAGAAATAATCAATACAGAGTCCTAGTGAAAATCTATATTAGGTGAAATCATCCATTTTTGCCTATTCTCACCGAAAATTAGAAAATTCATAACCCGATCAAAATCTCTCCAAACTACGTCAGCATATCGAGGTATACTTTATTTTATCTTAGCAATCTGATTGTACACTTAAGATTAATAACAAATATTCTTTGACTTTTGAAGATTTTGTGGAATCTTTTCAAAAACCGCAGTATTTTGTATTGATTTTTAAAACTGTTATCGAACGTCATAATACAGTTTAAATAAAAAAGAATATATCTTGATATGCAAGCGTAGTCTGGAGAGATTTTAACTAAATTATGAATTTCGTAACTTCACTTAAAAATAGAAAAAATGGGTGATTCCACCTAATACAGCTTTTCAGTAGGTTAGTGTAACCTTCTAGAGAAACATCCATTGCCACAAGAAAGGGTTTGTTTGACTTATGTTTGTTTCTGTTTTATTTCGTTTATTATAAGACGAACAACTTTATTATTGTTCGTGTTCTGATGGCAGTTGTATGTATGCGTGTGTGTATGACAAGAACGCAAAAATATTACGTTGTTGGACAAAAAGTTCGAAAAATTAAATTGCAGGTAAAAGAAGTCTCAGTCGTGCATGTGATAAGCTCAAGTTAAATGTATATGAAAATGATATTTCGTCTATAACGATTGCATAGTTGCTGAAAAAAAGTCTTAAGAGACTAGATGCTTCGAAGTACACCATTCTATGATCAGTCCAGTTGTGCGCAGTGTTTTCTATACTCTTTTTGTATTCAGGCTGAAAAAATTAGGAAAATATCGAGGTCATCAACACCAACAGTCCCTCCAAAAATTCCAACCGCCCGCTCGAAAAACTATTACTGTGATTATGCTGTACATGTTCGATGCATTCGTTCATCCGAAAAAAATCAATATTACAGACAGTGTTTTATCTAAGGTTTCGGTTTTCGAGTGAGCGGTTGGAATTTTCGGAGGGGCTGTTGGTTAAAAAAAATTGAGGCGTCAATGTGCTGCAAAGGTAAAACGTTCCTCTTTTTGGGTTAAGCCTAAGAGTGACAAACAGCTGAAAAGCTTTCAAATTTCCGTTGACGCACTTTAGCAACCAAGGAATAAAAGTTTTCGCAAAGAAACAGCTGTAGTGAATAGGTAAGACTGCAATATCCCAGTTTTCCTTCTAGATTTCTCAAAGGATTGAAATGACTCTGATATGTGAAAAAACTAAGTTTAATTAAAAATACCCTTACTCTTGCTAAGCTTGAAGAGTAAAAATTCAATTACTTATTCTACTTGAAAGTTCAAAGGCGCAAATTATTTGCTGGTAATAGTAGAGCTAGAGCTGTAATGATAAAAAAGTTGAATCCTTGAAATTCTTCAGTTACTGACTTACACGAATTTTAGCGATATGAGAAAAATTTATCACTTTTAAAAGAAGTCGCATCAGCACAAATCGTCTTAAGCTTTTTCTTAGAATAATATATCCTACATATGGACGAAATATCAATAAAAACGGCAGAACGAAAAACGGCAGTCGAGGACATTCATTGCATAGCACGGAAAAGAAATTTATTTCTTGGCTGATATTGTCTTCTTTAATTTTGATGAAATATATTCTTACCAAGGAGCTACTAATAAGTACGCTATAGTTATGAATAAGCTTTTTCTAACACATCGTAATCTAGCAGAATGTACATTTATATGACAATTTAAAAAATTGACTTGGCTTAAACATGCCTCTAATGCTATCACTCCAGTCTGCAGCTAGCTAATAAAAGAATAGGCTTCTTGTTCCAGTGAAATCCATCTCTATGTATCTGATTTATATAATGATTTTGCGAAAAGATTTACTATTGTTGCGATATTTTCACATATCGAAGTATACTCTAATTAAAATTTGTTAACTATTTTCCAATTACTTGAGTTTAAAATTTACTATTTTATTAACGTTATCTAGTAACTACCGTTTTAGCGCCTCAGCAGTATTAATAATATCTATAAAAGATATATTTGAGTTTGCTGTTTTTATTGTTTCTCTTTCAAAAGATTTTCTTATTTTCCTTTCTTTCTTTTTCTAATACATAATTTTTTCTTTAACATAGAAAAGGTAGAAATTCAACGATAAGAAAGCAGTTTAAATAACTGAATCATTAACTGAGAACTTTTTCATAATTCTAGTACAAGTCGCTGGAAGTAAATTCCTCTTCGATAATTACATACAGTTTATCAGGAATATATATATTATTATATTTACATATAGGCCGCACAAAAAAATCTTAGTTCTATATTCAAAAGTAGACATCTTCTTAACTTGGTGTACAACCTTGAGCAATTCTGTTCCATTGACATTGAAAACATGTAAAACCTACGAATGATTGAAAACCACGTGCAACCCATCTGATTTGGTTACATATGGGGCAACGATAAAAAATGCGATCATTGGCTTGAATAACTCGTTGGCCATATTCTTCAATCATCACTGAAGCAGCACTGTAATTTCTTGCCGCAGCTAATAGGGCTTCATCCATTTTTAGAACAAATCCTAAAATAAAAATACTATAAAAAAATTAGAGCAGTGTTACGTATATAAATGGCTGTAGAATGAGTATTATCTGTTAAAATAAATGCAGAGCTCATTGTCATTCACACCGCTTCACATAGTCATTACGGCTGATTCGTCTTCACTTGAGACTGAAGTAAGAAAGCACAGATTTAAAGAGTGCGATGTATTTTTCTCACTCTGACAATCTTACATAATCGTTAAAAAATTTGAAGAATACTGCGTAGAAAATGAGTCATTCTTTAACTAACGTCGAAACGCATTTTAAAGAATTAAAACACTATACTAATAAAAGTACTATAGTATATTGATATGACAACGTATATCATTTTTCAAAGAAAAGAATGAAAACAACTATGAGATCCCACTTCTTCTTAAAAGAACACAAGAAACAATTTTCAAACTTTTTTCGCTTCTATCATTCTTTTCGATTATACTGAGATGAACGAACGATAGTACTTTTTTGCACAGTACAGATTCAGATTTTTTACCCTGTCTCGTTTCCATTTCTAATATGACTCACAAAATCATCACTTAAACTTCTTCTGTAATCATCTAGGAGTCAGCAGCTAACAGATTAACGTAGATTTCTAACAGAATTGTCACATTGGTTTACTTCCGCTCAACTTCAAATGCAAAAAGACTTATTTCAAAATATTTAATAACATGTTTTACAAAACATAAACTATACTATGTCATGGGAAAAAACTATTTTCTATGAGTCAAACACATAAATTCACCGAAAAAACCTAATGTGTGAGTAAAAGCAATAATTTTTATGACTTCAGACGTGAAATAATTTATAATGAATGTAAACATATTGGTTGCAACAGAAATCGTAGGTAAAGCATATACAGTTTTTGAGCTTTAGACACTTGTATCTTGAGAATGATTAGCGATAAAGACATCAGATTTTTCATAAATAGTTTCACTCACATATAAACACTTGAGCACTGCTCGTTAGATCATGTCTGATTGAAAAAATAGATGTTGGTTACGCACAAAGAGAACAAGTTATCGTTTCATGATAAAAACACTTTTCTTTTAGTTTAGTTTACTTGCTGAGAATCAAGAATACCTTTTGATAGAATATAATTAGAATGAATTAAAAAAATGAGTGAGTTATTGTGAAAACAGCACGACAACCAGCAAGTATCTACTTGTTCAGTTTTCCTATTGGTTTAAATTTCATCACAAGCTTGAAAGAATCATTTCAAAGATCTAATGTAATGTTTACGTATAGAATTAAGTATTCGTTACACAATGCACTGAAAAATATCGTTTAACAAACACATTACTAAAAAATTAGACAAAAATGTTATGTAAATAAAAGATGACTCTAAAACCGCGTGTGAACCAGTTTACTGAGAAAATCCGGTTCTGACCATGGTTATAAATGTTTTTTTCCTCTAAGTTGCTATAACTAGTAGGGATGTTAATTTAGTTTTATTTTTCATTTATAATAATGGATAAAACTAAATGATTCATTTACATTTATTTTCCAAAGTAACACTAAATTAACACCCCTAATAACTAGAGCCCCGACGGATACGACCTTTTGACAACCTAGAACCTAACCTATAAAAATTTTCACAATCTAAATCTAACCTAATCTGTAAAACTCGTACCTTAAATCTAGCCTAACCTATTAATGTCTTTCATAATCTAACTTAGGGTAACCTAATACAACCTATGCAATTTTTTTCCAAAGTCTAGTTTCAGAAGCCTAAACTTCAGCTTTGTATCGTTATTGTTTCTTATATAAAAATACCCTTCTGATAGGAAAGCTTATACAAAATAAATCACATTTTAAATGAATATAGCAGTGAATCGGTTGAGTCTTTTATTCTTTAGTGCAATCTTTGGAAAATAGCTTTCCAAATAGGAAGATCCTCGTAAGAGTAGACCAGAATTGCACTTTAGGCTCTCGATGCTATGAAGGTTCGGTTATTATTGTGTATTCGCCATCTATTTTTAACAAACGTAAGTTTTTTCTCTGACTTCCTTTTTTGATTATGCCATTTTTCAGTTTAAAATAGCGAACCTCAGTCTGAACTTTATCGCTCAATCGATAAAGTTCCACTCGGACTACACTTTATTACTCAAAGTATTGGCTGTTTTAATGTGGTCATTCAAAATCGTTTTTTTTTAAAATAAATATTAATAACAGCAAAGACGCCTTATTCCAGCAGTACTAGGACCAGGCCTCTGGTCTCTATGGTTCATCCTGTAATAAACCATTTTTATCGACTCGAGGCAATGTTCGCGCTTTTATGAATTGTTGAGAAAAAAGACTGAACTTCTTTCTTTTAAACTTTTATTATATAGCGGTGACGATTGTGAAACAAAACGGTGAATGAAACGTCACGATTCTTACCAATTTTATCCAGTTATTCAATAAAAACAGAGATGCACAACCAGTGAAATGACAACTGTCGTTGAAAAGAAATAAAACCGTTTCAACCGCGTGTTGGAACCGGCGGTGAAATAGGATTTAAACTGCTCAAAACCACAGTTATAACCACTGAGCATACCGATAACCGCGGTTATCGGTATTGACCGGTTAACCGGTCGATTGTCACTTTTGTTTTCGTGCTTGGGTTGTCGAAACAGTGAATATAGAGTTTTCCTTTTCATAAGTTCTCTCTAAAACACGGTAATTTTGTCTTATTTGATGTATATCTTGACACCTATGTGAGAGCGAAAGTTCATTCTCTGAAGTCTATAACGCACCTTAAATATCCGCTGTATAAAGAAATCAAAATTCACTCTATGCAACAATTTGTACTAGCAAAATACTCATTTACTAGAGTACAGCAGTGTATCTGATAATGAAAACTAAAATCTAATTTTAAACAAATAATAACTTTTCTTCAGTCCCCTTCTTCTCATTATCATCATTCGATTTCCAATCTAAATGTATTGCATAGTCAACAATATGTTCATGACTATCTGCTTGTAATTTACTATCAATTTTGAACCCATTATTTGTTACTTGTAATTTATATGACTTTTACTTCCCTATCTGCTGGTCTAAGCGTCACAACAAATTTGCCACGCATTGTTTCAATATACTCGTATTTCATTATTTGATCGATAAACGAATAACATACGTTGCAGTATGACATTTTTGGTTAAATACTTTGACTTCACATTCATATCCTCCATGGACTTCTGTACCGTCCCGCCGTAAGTCATCGAGGATTTTTGGAACCCCTGTCCTTATACTTTGCTGATTTAGCGTCCGGTCGTACGTCAAGACTTAAAATTCTGACAATTTTCCTATAATACTGGCTATCGGACACGGTATAAGGATGAGTATAAAGTTCCGAAATTATGAAATTCTAACATCTTCTATAAGAGTAGCTATCCCACACGGTATAAAGATGAGTTTAAAGTTCTGAAATTCCGAACTTCTGAAATTCTAACATTTCCTATAATAGTGGCTATAACACGGTATAAGGATGAGTTCGGAGTTTTGAAATTCTGAAATTCTGAAATTCTAACATTTTCTATAAGAGTACCTATCGCACACGGTATAAAGATGACTTTAAAGTTCTGAAATTCCGAACTTCTGAAATTCTAACATTTTCTATAAGAGTACCTATCGCACACGGCATAAGAATGAGTTTGAAGTTCTAAAATTCCGAACTTCTGAAATTCTAACATTTTCTATAAGAGCAGCTATCGCACACGGCATAAGGATGAGTTTGAAGTTCTAAAATTCCGAACTTCTGAAATTCTAACATTTCCGATAATAGTGGCTATCGCACAGGATGGGTTTAAAGTTCTGAAACTCTAGCATAACCCCTAATAGTGGCTATAACACCGTATAAGGATGAGTTCGGAGTTCCGAAGTTCTGAAATTCTGAAATTCTAACATCTTGTGTAAGAGTAGCTATCGCACACGACTTAACGATAAATCTGAAGTTCTGAAGTTCTAAAATTCTGAAATTCTGAAATTTTAACATTTCCTATAAGAGTCGCCATCGCACACGGCATAAGGATAAATCTGAAGTTCAGAAGT